AGCCAGTTCCTAGAGACCTACAAAGAGACTTAGATAACTACACAATAATAGTGGGACCTTTGAATACCCCCAATGACAGTATTGAACAGATCATCGAAGCAGGAAAATAACACAAATATTCAGGACCTGAACTCAATGCTTGACCAAATGGACCTAATATAAATCTATAGAACTTTCCATCCGAAAATAACAGAACATACATTTTTCACATCTGCACATGGTCCATACTCTAAAATCAACTGCACATACTGGGCATAAAACAATCCTCACCATATTCCCCAAAACCAAAATCATACCAACCAAGCTCTCAGACAATGCAATAAATATAGAAATTAATGCTAAGACTATCAATCAAAAGCATACAATTACATGGAAATTAAAAACCTGCTCCTAAATGGCTTTTGGATAAATAATGAAATTAAGGCAGAAATCAAGAAATTCTTTTAAACTAATGAGAAACAAGATACAAGATATCAGAATTTCTGGGACACAGCCAAAGCAGTGTTAAGAGGGAAGTTTATAGCACTAAACACCCACATCAAAAAGTTAGAAAGATCTCAAATTAACAACCTAATATCACAACTAGAGGAACTAGAGAAACAAGAACAACCCCAAGACTAGCAGAAGACAAAAAATAACTAAAGTCAGAGATGAACTAAAGGAAATTAAGAGGCAAAAAACCATACGAAAATCAATAAATCCAGGAGCTTTTTCTTTGAAAGAATTAATAATACAAGGTAGACTGGTAGATAAACTAATTTAAAAAAAAAAAAAAAGAAGATCCAAATAAACACCATCAAAAATGGCAAAGGGTGCATTACCACTGATCCCCCCAGAAATACAAAAAACCCTCAGAGATTATTATGAACACTTCTACACCTAAAACAAATGGATAAATTCCTGGAAACATACAACCTCCAAAGAGTGAACCAGGAAGATTAAATCCCTGTAAAGACTAATATTGAGTTCCAAAATCAAATCAGTAAGCCATGACAGTAAGATTGTAAAAAGGCCAGGCATAGTGGCCTTTCTATACCAGAAAAATACAAAAATTAGCCAGGCATAGTGGCACATGCCTGTAGTTCCAGCTACTTGGAGGCTGAGGTGGGAGGACTGCTTGAGTCTGGGAGGTTGAGGCTGCAGTGAGCCATGATCACACTACTGCACTCTAGCCTGGGTGACAGAGCAAGACCCTGTCTCAAACAAAAAAATCTAATCAGTAATAAAAGCCTACCAAACAGAAAAAGCCCATGACCAGATGGATTCACAGCTGAATTCTATCAGATGTATAATGAAGAGCTGGTACCATTCTCATTGAAATTATTCTAAAAACTGAGGAGGAGGAATGCCTCCCTAACTCATTCTATGAGGCCATCATTATCCTGATACCAAAGCCCAGCAGAGATACAACAAAAAAAGAAAACTTCGGGCCAATATGCTTGATGAATATGGATGCAAAAATCCTCAAGAAAATACTAGCAAACCGAATCCAGCAGCACATCAAAAAGCTTTTCCACCATGATCAAGTAGGCATCATCCCTAAGATGCAAGGTTGGTTCAACATACACAAATCAATAAATGTGATACACCACATAAAGAGAACTAAAAACAACCACACAATCATCTCAATAGATTTAGAAAAGGTTTTCAATAAAATTCAACATCCCTTCATGTTAAAAACCCTCAACAAACTAGGCACTGAAGGAACATACCTCAAATAATAAGAGCCATTTATGAAAAACCCACAGCCAACATCCTACTGAACAGGCAAAAGCTGAAGGCATTTCCCTTGAAAACCAGAACAAGACAAGGATGCCCTCTCTCACCACTCCTATTCAACATAGTACTGGACGTCCTAGCTAGAGAAATCAGGCAATAGAAAGAAATAAAAGACACTCAAAGGAAGACAGAAAGTCAAACTCCCTGTTTGCAGACAGTATGATTCTATGCTTAGAAAACCCCATAATCTCTGCCCAAAAGATACTTAATCTGACAAACAACTTCAACAAAGTTTTGGGATACAAAATCACTGTACTAGCTGTGCACCATGACTCATGCCAGTAATCCCAGCACTTTGGGAGGCTGAGGCAGGTAGATCACTTGAGGCCAGGAGTTCAGACCAGCCTGGCCAACATAGCTAAACCCTGTCTCTACTAAAAATACAAAAACTAGCTGGGTTTGGTGGCCCATGCCTGTAATTCCAGCTATTTGGGTGGATGAGGCATGAGAATCGCTTGAACCCAGGAAGCAGAGGTTGCAGTAAGCCAAAGTTACACCACTGCACTCCAGCCTGGGTGACAGAGTGAGACTCTGTATCCACACTGAGAGCCAAATTAAGAATTCAATTTCATTCACAGCAGCCACAAAAAAAAGGATAAAATAAATAGGAATACAGCTATAACCAGCCATGACCAAGGAGGTGAAAGACGTCTACAACAAGATTTAAAAAACACTGAAAGAAAGAAAACACAGATGACACAAACAAATGGATAAACAACCCATGCTCATGGATAGGAAGAATCAATATTGTTAAAATGGCCATACTGCCCAAAGCAATTTACAGATTCAATGCTATTCCTATCAAACTACCAATGACATTTTTCACAGAATTAGAAAAAAACTATTTTAAAATTCACATGGAACCACAAAAGGGCCCAAATAGCCAAGGTAATCCTAAGTGAAAAGAACAATGCTGGAGACATCACATTACCCAACTTCAAACTATACTATAAGGCTATGGTAACCAAAACAACATGGTTGTTACAGAAACAGAAATATAGACAAATGGAACAGACAAACAGAGCCCAGAAATAATAGACAAACAGAGCCCAGAAATAATGCCGCACATCTACACAATCAAGAAAAACAAGCAACAGGGAAATAACTCTTCATTCAATAAATGATACTGGGATAACTGGCTAGCCATATGCGGAATATTGAAACTGGACCCCCTCCTTACACCACATACAAAAATCAACTCAATATAGATTCGAGACTTAAATGTAAAACTTAAAACTATAACAACCCTGGAAGATAACCTAGGAAATACCATTCTGGGCATAGAACTTGGCAAAAATTTCATAATGAAGATGCCAAAAGCAATTGCAACAAAAACAAAAATTAACAAATGGGACCTAATTAAACAAAAGAGCTTCTACCAGCAAAAGAAACTATCAACAGAATAAACAGACAACCTAGAGAATGGGATAAAAAATTTGTGAACTACACACCAACCGAAGTCTAATATCCAGAATCTATAAGGATCTTAAATTTACAAGAAGAAAACAACACCATTAAAAGAGTGGGCAAAGTACACAAACACTTCTCAAAAGAAGACATGTGCGCAACCAATGAGCATATGAAAAAATGCTCAACATCACTAATCATTAGAGAAATGTAAATCTCACACCAGTTAGAACGGCTATTATTAAAAAATCAGAAAATAACAGATACTGGCAAGGTTACAGAGAAAGGCAATGCTTACACACTGCTGGTGGGAATGTAAATTAGCTCAGCCATTGTGGAAAGCAGTTTGGTGATTTCTCAAAGAACATAAAACACAATTGCCATTCAACCCAACAATCCCATTATTGGGTATATGCCCAAAGGAATATAAATCATTCTACCATAAAGACACATTCATGCATATGGACATCACAGCACTATTCACAATAGCAAAGATATGAAATCAACCTAAATATCCATCAACAGTAGACTGGATTTTTAAAAATGTGGTGTATATATATATATACATTGAAATACTATGCAGCCATAAAAAAGAATGAGATCATGTCCTTTGCAGCAACATGGATGGAGCTGGAGACCATTATCCTAAGCAAACTAACACAGGGACAGAAAACCAAATATTGCACATTCTCACAAGTGGAAGAAAAACTTCTGAGTACATATGGACACAAAGAAAGGAACAGATACCAGGATCTACTTGACAGTAGAGAGTGGGAGGATGGTGAGGATCAGAAAAGTATCTACTGAATACCAGGCTTATAACCTGGGAGACAAAATAAATCTGTACACCAAACTCCTATGACACGCGATTTACCTACATACAACAAACCTTTCCATGTACTCCCTGAACCTAAAATAAAAGTTAAAAAGAGACAGAGAGAGAAATAATTAGGACAAGGATGACAGACTTTATTACACAAAGATTTAACATTTCTGTCATCAGCCGGGCGCGGTAGTTCATGCCTGTAATCCCAGCACGTTGGGAGGCCAAGGTGCGTGGATCACCTGTGGTCAGAAGTTCGAGACCAGCCTGGTCAATATGGTGAAACTCAATCTCTACTAAAAATAGAAAAAATTTTAGCTGGGCGTAGTGGTGGGCACCTGTAATCCCAGCTACACTGGAGGCTGAGGCAGGAGAATCGCTTGAACCCAGGAGGCGGAGGTTGCAGTGAGCCGAGATTGCGCCATTGCACTCCAGCCTGGGCGAC